AGCCTATATTTCTCATGATCTGAATGTTTTATAATCCTGTTTTTAATAATGCTTAGAGAAAACCTTTCAGATTGAAGTCAAAGGTCAGGGGCAGCTGTAGAGCAGCTGGGCCTGCAACTGATAGGGACTATACTAAGTCGATGAAACACTAAAGCAAGATGCAGACAGTTTATGGGTATTAGTGTTTTAAATTCAAATGTGCTATGTCAAACAGATGTTTTAAATTGGATACAGTTGTGGCAATACTTTAGTTAAATTATGTATTTTTTGTTATCTTTGCACATGAAGAATATCACGGATTGGAATAGTTTTGTGAAGTGCAGTGAAGAACGGATTAGGATGACCGATGACGTGTTCTGTGTGGTATGTGTGTGCGCATTATGGACAGATACCAGTTGGTAGTCTGAGATCTCTCAAGTGCACTGAATCAGTAGGCCACTTCATTTATTTTTGACCAAAATATAACAAATCTTACTTTCAGGGAGTAAATATTGTGGGCTGGCATTGTGTATCAAAGCATGTCTTCTTGTTTCTAACACTGGTGAAGTGGGAAAGGAGGTCAAAGGGTCAGGAGACAAGTGTGGGAGAGGAATGGAGAGACAGCAGGCCTGTATCATCCTTATCGCCCCATGAATGATGAATTGAACATTCGTGTGCATGAGGAAAGTGCTGAGGTTAAAAAGGTTTGCAAATCTGAGGATTTATGATATTAGTTTTAGCATTAGTTTAGTAATTATATAATAGTTTACTGGAATCTCACACAGTAGCAAAAAGCCTGGATCTTGTTAGTTGTTGAGAGATGATGCCGAGTTGCATATCCCAGCCTGAGAAGGAGAGTGAAACATTAAGCAGGGAGGGAGCTATGGGAGAAATAAGAGACGGAGAGAAATGGTTTTAAAAGTTAAAGGAGGGTAAGCTTTGACGGTTGTAACAGATAAGACTTATCTGTTACAACCGTATGCCCATGTTTTTACTTTGACGTCTCCTGTGTGGCTCCAGATGTAAGCAAGTTTTATCCAGAAAACCCTTAAAGTGTGCTTATTTAGTTCAATATTGTGTTGTGTATGTTTCTGGATGACTATTGCAAACGGAATTCTCTCAAATATCTTGAAAGGTTGTCTGAAAGAACCCTAAATGCTTATCCCACCTTGCTTTTTCTACATTTCTTCTCACCCCTTTTTCCTTTTGAAATGTTCCCCCTCTCTCTATCCTCCTAGGTTCTGGATAATCCCTCACTAAGCTGCTGTCACATGAGGCCTAATTGTGAGAGAATGGGAGAACAGAATCCTGGTCTCTGTCGTTGGCCTACAGAAAGGCCATCGGTATGCATTAAAAGTCTCTGAACCGTGATGACATTGAGGGTAGCCCAGGTGAATGCTTACTTAATAATGTTTTAAGTAACATCTCTTCTTTTATATGTTCAGCCTGTAACATTTTGTCCATTTCCAAGCATCTTTTAATCTCCAACTAGCTAACAAACAGTCTTTAAAGTTTGAGGTTTTGATGTCTGGCTCCCTAAACTCTTGACCCCTCACTCTTTCAGTTCTTCTATCTCCTAAACATCTGCAAGAACCTCCGAATGATCTGATTATGAAACCTTCTCATCACCGATGAAGCCAAACTCCACCCTAAGCCCCAGGCACAACTATTCCAAACTTTTGGATCAAAGATATGAGATTAGCTCTTTCAGATGTTTCATGAAAAGAGGGATGAAGCCATCTCTCTGATCCTCTCAACTATGTTTAGATTTAGCGAATCTGTGTAAACATTTATCTTCACTGACATGCAAACACATGTTTTTATCTTACACCAAAGAGCATTGCATTGGTCAACATTTATTTTGGATGTTGTGGTACATTACTTTCACTGACAAACAAATTGATGATTTGCAATATTTTTAAGGAACATATTAAGCTTAACGTCAACAGGTTAATTATATGTAGCCATCTACAGTGTGACTGTTTGCTCGACAATTGTAAACCAGGGATTTGCAGAAAAAGAGCATCAACACTTATATTAAAATGTCAATCCTTTAACATGCTCATCCACCCTATTCCCCATTTCCCTCTTTCTTACTGTAGAGTGACAGAGGAAGCCAAACACCACCATGACAATGGCCGGAGTCAAAATGGTCCCGAACACCAGGCCAGCGAGGCAGGCGTTGATGGTGGCAATAATCAGGTTCTGAGCCGTCACCAGCACCGAGCAGGCCCAGCAGTCCAGGGACCCCCGCAGCTCCAGAGGCGCTTCACTGCCCCCACCACCGATCTCAGCTGCAGAATAAGGAGGAGGTACGACTACACGTAAAGGTGTTTCTCTGCCTCCACCCACAGCGGTGGTGGATGCCAGGGAGTTAGAGTGGTGAAGATGTTGGTGGTGGCTGTTGTGGTGATGATGAGGTGGCAGTTCCTCGGACAGGTCCAAGGCCTGGTGATGGGCCCCCTTTTCTAGAGTACCACTCATACTCATACTGAACTGTAGGCACGGAAAATAAACCAATTAAAGGCATGTGATTGAAATGTAACTTTTTATCAGAATAAGCATGTGCAGATGTTTTCTAACTGTTGGTCAGCCCTGATTAGCCTGTTTAGAGACACACACAATGGAAGAGACCTAGTTATGAAATACTTGTGTAACTAATCAAATTCCAGTCCTCAAAGGTTCTCTGGGTTCAGAGAGAGGTTAGATGTTTGATCCGTCAGGAAGTAAGCCTTGTTGATGCCGTCTTTGAGGTGATGATAATCAGAGTGCTGATTGTCCAAAAGGAAAAGGGCCTTAATTGCTATATGTAGTTTGTGTGGTAGAGAGATGAAGGCTAATTGGCATCAAAGTCTGTTTGTGTACAAACGTGTGCTTGTGTTTTGACTTGTTTTCTTCCCTGTGGGTATTAGAGACAGACGCTCAGATGCAACCAATGTTGCCATTTAATTGGAACCATATAATGTTACATTAAGTACAAACATTTATTTTTGAAGGGAAACAAACCTATGAGTACGACTATATACTGTCAGATTATTTTCTGTCGCATATTGGTGTCGGCCAATGTAATTCATCTTACTATAGGGTTAAGAAAAGAATGTGATGATGTAATTATGGCACAACACTTGCCTTTTTGTTCATAATTCAACATTTTCTCTTGGCGTCAATAAAAAGAAGCCAGGTCCTCCATGCAGGGTCTGCTTTGCTTCAAGCTGCTTTAGTTTGCATCCATTCCGTTTCATGACAGATTTGATGTGGTATGCAGCTGTGTCTGGTACAGGATATCCTTACTTCTCAAAGGTTATGAGACAGACAGGGTACAACTTGAGTAACCAGGCCATCTGCCAGCAAAAACTACAGTGATGGACAAATCCCAGTAGGGATGACAAAGTCAAATAGTTGGATTAATCATTTTAGCAAACACAGTGCTTTCCCATAGGGAATCTGTACTGTTTGTTCATTTAAGGGGTATTTTACCGTTAAGGAGTAAATCGCTCATAATGTAATTACCATAGTACAAGACATAGTATTGTGACAAGTAAAGCACTATGCTGGAATACTTTCTTATAAGCGTCCCACTAGGATGATCTGATCTGAAACTCCATTGCTGAAGTGAAAGGACCAACAGAGGGCTACATGTGGCGGGTCATTTCATATTCATCGTTGAAAAAGATTGTACACTGTCTCAAATTGTTCAATAATTTAGCTAGGATATTGTACAGAGTACCTAACATAACGTCTCTGAGCAGACACACTTACCTATGTTGGGATATCTATTGGATAACCATGCACTTAACGATAACACCTCTATCCCGCATTAACTGACAATCGGGGGAAGACCATATTTACAAATCTGTCCTGGGTGCTTGAGTTATTTTTCTTTTTCCACGTCTGTTTCCTGTTGTCCTTGTGTTTTTATCAAGGTGGAAGGTCATGTAGGAAAGACTGGCAGGAAAGTGTGTATGCGCACATGCACGTGTGTGAGGTGACTCATTGTTTATTTTTACAACAAATATATTTAGTCTCTCCACCCACTTTACTCACTCTTTAGTTTGAATAGCATTTCTTAGGATATTTCGTCATGTAATTGTTTGAACTATATTAAGACATTCTTAATCAGGAAATATTGTGCAATAAAGTGATTGTAATGGTAGCATGTAGTCTCCAAATACCTCCTCTTGTTTGAATCAAAAGTCTGCTTCCCATCATGCAATGCCTCGGCTAGGACTTGCAATGACATTATTCTTGGATGCTGCAGGGCGATTTTCCATTGTTCTATCATTCTATTATTCTATTGTCTGGAACAAAGCAGCTGCAATAGTGAATTCTGTGTCTCTCAGACATGTTTTGTCCTGTTTATCATCAGTAGTAAATAAGACATTTAGGCTCCTTTTTCCTGTAATGTGTGGTGTGAAGAGTTCTCACTGATGTGATTTGAACGTGTCTTGAGTGATGCAGCTGCACTTGTACTCACATTGTGATGTGGGGCCCGGTAGACCTCTTGCTGTTCGTCCTCCAGATTGTTGCTGATTTTCTCACTTCTTTTGAAGTCCTCTTCTGTCCGCTCAGTGGTTTAACGGAGCCTCTGAACTTGTTCTCTGGGAACTTGGTTACTTTCCACCTCCTCTCCTTGCATGAAGTTGAAAGAGCTTGTAGTGATTTTGGAGTTTCCCTCCTTATCTATTTAGTGGTGGTATGTTGTCTTCCTGCAGCTCTGGTCTCCTGCTGCTTCTTCTCTTCTTTATCCAGAATTGTCAGTGTAGCTGATTAGGTCTAGAGGGATGTTTTCTTTTACACATTCAACATCAAATTCCTATGCTGTTGGGATGAAGTCGTAGCACAGAAATGCTCCTCCATCAGTGGCAACAACTTCACTAACAGTTGCTGTGTTCTTTGTCTTAAGTATGTCAAACTTCTTTCTGTTTGCCCTCCCCTTTGTACCAGCCCATCTGATTGAGTCCCCAGTGCTGTCTCTCATTCCCTCCCTCCTCTTGGACTCCCTGCATCCATCCTACTTTCTCTCCAACAGGCTTATCAGACCCCTGCCTTTCTCCGACAACTCCTCTCGGCACATACATTCCACCTCACATATCCAGGACATATTACACCCCCCTTTAGCCTGTGTCTGTTGCAGTGGGGGCTGGGTTGTGTGTCGGGGGTCAGAGTAGGCTGATAAGTTGAGGTTCAGAAGAGCAGAAAATGAGGGGGAAGGGCAGGAGAGACAGACGAGGTACCATTGTGCTTCTGAACACATTCAGAAAATCATTTTGTTATATTTAGTTGTAAATTAGTCCAAAGTGAAAACTTGACTTCCATGAGTTATGTTTATATCTTCACTCTTTACAGGGATGCAAACTTGTCACCTTTCGGCGAAATTCGCCCTTTTGAATCCAAAATAGGTCGTTTGTGTGATTCATGTAGATCTGCAATACATTTTTTGGGGTATGGGGGGGGGGGGGGGGGGGGGGTCTGGGACCCGGAGTAATCTGCGGCCGCAAGCTGTTATGTGCCATCATGACGCGCATGGTGTTATTTATTTATATATTATAATGAAGCTCGAGTCTTCCTGTCTGTCGGCTCTGCTGCTCCGCGATGAGGGTCAGCTACATTACCTACGGGTGCGTTCGCAGCTAGTTTGAATGACTTTGTATTCTGCAGGGTAGCTGGTGAATTTACTCCAGGTGGAACTAAAGTCTGATTCAACACTTGATTATATTTCACATCATTCATCCACATCTGTAAAGTAACTAAAGGTATTAATACATGTAGTGGAGTCAAAGTACACCATGTACCTCTGAACTGTAGAGGAGTAGAAGTACTAAGTAGCAAACCATTGAAATACAAGTACAAATAAAGTACAAGTATCTCAACATTGTACCCAAGTATAGTACTTGAGTTTATGAACTTAGTTACTTTACACCAGTGGCTATAAAGACAGAGAGACTAAGGCATGAAAATACATTGCCAAAATGATAAACTGATACACAATTCAAATAAATGCTTTCATATATTTCTATTAGATGTGACTCTTTGGCGTTTCTGTTATTATTACCCTGCTGCTTTAGTTGTTCTGACTGCTAAAATCCTCTGTTATTCCTCATTTTAAAGCCGATACCGTGGGGTGGGGGTCTTGTCACCTTTTTCATACCTGATGAGTTAGCATCCCTGCATTGAGTAAAGATAGAGATTTGGGCATCTGTTTTTCTCTAGGCCACTTTTGACTATTTGGTGATGTGAGACTGTTGTATTTGCATGATATCCAGGTATTTTGAGCATGTTAAAAAACTTCAATATGTTGCCTAAGCCTTCATCTTACTTTGACATTGCTCCTTATGCATTTGTCCCCACCCAGGGTTCAAAGTGAGAGTTGCCTTTAAGTTGAAGTTGCCTTTAAGCAACAGTCTTGTTGTTTCCCAGCAAATATACAATTGTACTAAATTAACAAATACTAAGGTGCATAAAAAAGTACATATAAGACCTACAGTTGCATATTTCAAATAATTCAATTAATTATTTTGGTGGAAATCGTTATTATACGTTTGCACCTGAGATGAAGGTGTTAGGCCTAAGGACATTTTAAGAAAAGGAAATGGCGTTTCAACTCTGTGTCCTCCTCTTAACGGACATTGTCTCAGCGCTAGGGCTGCTGGATATCAGGAACACTTGCAATGTGTGATAACACTGCTGAATATTGCAATGACGATATCACTTGCAATATTTAAACACATATTTAAAAAACATTGTTAATGTATTTCTGCTTTGGATTCACTGCAAGCATAACCCTAGAATAGACTATGCAGAAACTTCAAACAAATTAAAACATTAATTCCAGTCCAACATCATAGTTAATTTTTTTGTTATATTGTTTATATTTTATGAAAAAACTTCTCAATTCTCCCCTTTACAAATGTTCTGGCCTTCTGATGTCCTCTCTAATATACGAACCTGCAGAGCGTGAATGCATGGCATAGGGAGTAGGCTATCATTTATCGCAGTTCCAGCAGTCTTCGCTATGTCTCAGTTGATATCGCGATAAAGATAGATTTGTGATTAATTGTGCAGCCCTGCTGAGCGCTACGTCACCTTTCTGCTTTGAAAACATCCTGAAGTTAGGACTTGTCAAAACTTTAAAAGGACCATGCGTTTTCAGTAGAAACTCTTGGTTGTTAAGGTACATTAGTTCATTTTAGGCTATATCAAATATAATATAAAGATTTAGTTTTGATCCTGCTGAAATTGACTGAAGAGACTTTGTATGGGCAGCTATGGCTCAGATGGGATAGAAGGCCGTCCACTAGTGATGGAAGGTGTCCATACTGATTGGTGTGTTTGTTGTCTGTGAGTATTTTTACAATGTACACTATGGGTACTTTTTGAGGATGGTATGGTCATTCATCTTAGCAGTCACCGAAGCTTGGTTTTTACTACTATTACAGGATATCAAAAATGAGATGTTGTGAGGCAAAGCAAGAGACGTCAGTCTGCACTTTGTACGATGTATGAGGAAATAAACGATCAGGAAATGCATTCAGATAAAAGCTCTGATTCTCTTGAATACAGAATTTCGAAAGGAGGATGAAGTAAGAAGTACAAAGATATCAAGAAATGCAGTAATCAGTTAAATGATAAAAGATCAGAGCATGAGCTAAATAATGAGTGTTGTCTGATCCGGATTCTTTGTATACCCTCTGCTTTGAGCTTGCAATGTTTGTTTACTTCCAGTACTTTGGTCCCAATGCTCTACGTTTCTTTCTTCTTTCTGTGTGCTTGTGTAGAAACTATAAACGGATGTATGCATCTTCATGCTCCTACGAATAATTATAGGTCTAACATTTGAGTATTTTGATATCAACATGCAGCATGATGGTTTAATGTAAAAGGTAAGGAACCCATTGACATTAGTATATGGACTTGTCATTCGTTGGATGTTTTTGTAATGTATTATTTCCCTGTTGGCATAGCAGTCTTGGTGTTGCTTCACTGCTATCAGGAGATGCATGAAGTCCCCTTTGGGGAATTTGTCATTACATAATCTTTCTCATCATGCTCAGCAAGAGCAAACTTCAAAGTATTGTTCAACATGATTACATGTTACATAAGACCGCTTTTTTGTGGAGGGAAACTTGACTGCAGCACTGTGCAGCAGGTAGACGGAGAGACTTCCGGCGTAGATTGAAGCAGGATTTCCTTGAGTCTGTCCAGTCCTTCTGGCCCGGAGCTGTGCCTGAGGATACAGTGACCTTCCAATGATCTGTAGCTCGGCCTGGGTATCATTTCTCATTTTATTGTTTCATTCAAACCTTTTTAATTGTAATCCTTTTGATATTCTACATTTGTTTCTTTTAAATGCACCAAAGAAAAGTCTATTACCTCTGTTTAAAATATATATATGTTTGACATAACACTGTTTTCTTTCTGATATTTTCAAGATGAAATACTATGTTGTGCCATCCCAGGTCAGGGGATAAGACCGCCTGCTCTTCCGCCATAACTGTGATCAGAAGGCTGAAATCTACAAGGGCAGAATGGCAAGTCCAACTTTGTAGCCTATAAGTTACAAAAAGGCTTTATTATCCTTTGTGTGAGCACGTCTAAAGGCCACAGCACGGTGCTTTAGCTGTAGACCAGATCCTCAGTGCCTTGTGTTTTGCTCTCTAATGCCATCATCCCAGCTTTTCTGTAGGACACAATGTGGTAAATCACAGCTATTTTTATATACACTGTGAATAAGAAATAATCATACAATTCACTCGAGTATATCTTTCATATTCTTTAGTTTGTCTTTGTTTCTGCTGATGCCAAAGGAGGAACACTGACTAACTTATTCATGAGAATAACATTTTATGACTCTGTTGTGGCATCAGCCATTTTCTATGGTGTGGCCTGCTGGGGCAGCAGCATCTCAGCTGCTGAACAGACTGGTAAGGAAGGCCAGCTCTGTCCTGGGGAGTCCTCTGGACACTGTGGAGGGAGACAGGAGAATGGCAGCCAAGCTGTCCTCCCTGCTGGACAATGTGTCCCACCCCCTCCAGGACACCCTGTCCTCACTGTGCAGCTCCACCCCCGCTGTCTCACGGAGAGATCCGCAGGTCCTTCCTTCCTTCTGCAGCGGTCAGACTATACAACCAGCACAGCCCTGTAAGAACTGTATTTTGAAAATGATGTAACATTACGCTGTCTGGCTCTACGCACATTTCCCCTCCAGGTATTCTGATAACAAAAGACGGCCCCAATCATTTCTGGATTTATCAAAAAGCATTTTTTTATTAATTGTCATTTTAATGTCACACAAATTCACAAGTGTTTAAGACATGTCTGGCTCAGTTTGGTGTGTGTGTCTGTGAATTCTCTAAACAGTGCAGTTATAAATAAATGACCACAAAGAGAAGAAAAGGTAATATTGCAACAGTAAAAATAGAATTCTCATTTTAAGAAGATAAACAGAAAAAGAGTTGTTCAAATTGAACATTTAGCACCATCTATCCCGTTATCATATTCAACATATAATATCATAAAATCTTGTCTAAAAGCCCCCTACATAATGAAAACAAAAAATTACCATTTCTAAAAACAATTTGGAAAAAACTGTTTTTCCTCAATGAGCATACAAACACAGCATTCCATTAGTCATCTTCTCTACGTGAGCAGTGTGCCTATCGTCTACAGGAAAGGTGGTGTTATTTTCAGGATAAAGATATTATATAATATATACCAGGAGTCAATAGAGCCAAGCACCAGACAACAGCAACCTCCACTCCTGTGGACACACAACCCCCACGTTTCAATTCTTACAGAGCAATCGGTCACTATCAAAAAATAAGAAGAAACAAAAATCGCAACCTTGTACAACCCTATTAAAAAAGGGAGAACATTAATATCCAATAAATAGAGAAAACATTTTAAATTAAATGTACAATGCCAAAAAAGTAAATGAATCCAAAGTCTGCAAATTGGACCAAAACAATCAGAAGTAAAACACACAACACCAGATGGTAATGAGTTTTGTCTTCCTTCAAAGAGTATCCATACAGAAATAAAAAAAGACCTGACAAGTGATTGAGGAAATACAAACACAAGATTTACATTACATACAAGAATCTGAAAGACAAAATGAAATCCCCCCCAAAACAACGAAAGTCGTTAAAACCCGTATGTTTTGAAGCACTCCAAACATTTGTATTTTTTTAAATTCTTAATGCTTTAGAAAAATGTTCATATCTTTATCTTTATTATTAGTATTTGTCATTTTCTCTCTTTTCTAAATACAAGGCCAATGTGGTATATATCTAGGCTGATCTAGTTTTAGAAAACAACAAAACAATAAATTATTTAAAAAAAGACAGCACCCCACAAAAATTGCAAACAGCATGTACAAATGTCAGTATTCAATACAACAGAAATGCACCAACTACCCTCCGCAGTTTGTTCACCGGCAGCACCACCTGCCCCCTGGGTTCCTATGTGACCAGGGCGTCTGGCTCAAAGCACCATCTGAGAGTAAACTGGTATTTATTGGCGGCTTGGTATTTTCTTTTTGTAAACAGTAATGATGAGTAAACGTATTCAACTGGCTGTTCGGCAAGTAGTAGCAAAAATGAAAGGGTAAGTTGAAAACCAAAGTGAACCTGTGTCTTTTTTCCTGGCTTGCAGGAGTTTTGGTTATGGCTGAGGATACGCAGGAGATGATCTCTGTCACCGGGAGGAGGCCTGGGGAGAAACACACACAACACATTATAGGCTTTATTGTTTTCATGTCAGAAATGAATAAATGGCAACTATCAAATCCTGAACAAAAGACAGAAGGAAAACAGAATAGCGGTGCACTTACCAGGTTAAAGGAGTCGTATGTGGTCATGAGCTCCTCCATGCGGTACTGCTCCAGCACCACCACATTGTTCAGGTTTGGGCTACGCTGACGTGCGCACTCCTCACAGTGAACCACATATGTCTTTCGGCTGTTGCTCTCACTTGTCACAAACAACAAATCGAATACCTCCAACTGTAACAGAAAATAGATAATTGTTCAGTTTGAGGTATTTTAACCTTATGGTCATTGTGTGATACTGATGGTTTTTCATATGAAGTACATCTTCATCAACATTGGCTGGAGTTAATAGCTCCATAGCATCCTGTTTATATGATAAAGAGTAAGGTCATGTGTATGTAGTGCATGTCTGTAATAGAACAGGCTACTCACGTCACATTCGTTGCAGTAGTAGGCGGGCTCGTCCTTGACCCGACTCTGATAGGAAATCTTCTTTCCTAAGACCACCAGCTGGTCACGCAGGATCTGGATGTGCTTCATGGACTGCAGTAGGCAGTGTCTGGTAGGAAGGTAAGATACCAACATTAATATAAAGTTTGCACTATATTTTTCATTCACATTCTATGTATGTAATGTGACATCTGCTTCATTTGACACAATTACTGGACATACATCCACACTGTTTCCACACATCCATGTTAATATGTCTAATATGTATAGGGGATGGGTATCGTTAAGGTTTTCACGGTACTACTACTTTGATCGATTCGGTCCTTTAACGGTACTCAAAAAGGTAAATGAATGAAACAAATTGTAAATAATGTGATCTTATAGAACTATATATAACAAACAAAAAACAAGTATTTACTGCATAAAGACAGTGGTACAGAGCAACACAGGTGGGGCATACAGGTATGCTGCAAAAGGCCTAACGGTTCTTCTGGAGGAAGATGAAGGTATACATCTGGACGTGGATGGGGCTACAGAGCTACTAGAAAGACAGTGGAAAACGGTGCACTTCTCCGCCTGAATCAATGTGGTGCACTTTTGCAAGATGTTTAAACAAATTGCTTGTGTTACCGCCATTACATGCTAAACACTTTTGGCAACGAGCATTGTCCACATCGTAACATTTAACCACAACTTGGAACGCTTAGTTCTCGCCGCCGAGTGCGTGTAAACTGTCCCGCCCCCTCACACACAGACGGGAGAGAGAGATCTCTCGTCTGGATTAGAAAGATCGAAAATACGTCATGGACGCATTTTGTAGTCTTATTGCATATTAGAAACTAAAACTGCAATATAATGTTTATGTAGCAATAATACATATGACATGTATTTTTTAAATGTCTCCAGTACCGATAAAATATGTATATGACCCAATATGTATATATGCTCTTTCGTATCTTTGATTTGATTAATCTGTGCTGTTAGAACTACTGAATTTCCCCACGGGGATTAATAAAAGGTCCATCTTATCTTATTCAAGGTTAGTGGTCATGTTGATTGTGGACTTGTGCTGTTGAATTTTAACCTAGGGATATATTATTATCCATCTCTTTTTTTGCTGGGATGTGACCACAGTGTAAACTCACTTGACCAACTTGAAGGTGTCAGGGTCGGTTATCTTGACAGTGCGGGCTGCGTTCCAGGACACATGAATCATGGGGACGATGGATTTGACTTTCTTCACTTCGTTCCACTCAAACCGCTCCAGGGCCAGCTGGTACTGGTAAGCTGCAGATACACGACATGTTGAACACATTTCAGTCTTACAAAAATGTTCTTACTACTGTTGTATTTGCCACGTGCAAGTTGCACTCCTTACCATTGAGGGGTCCGACGTTCCAGGCGATGTTGTTGCACCAGCCCACGGCCTGCACCCAGTGAACAGTTCCAGCGTTTATCCACACCAAGTCCCCCGGCCGCTGGATGAAGCGATACACGGGGATGTTGGCTTTGTAGAGGTCCTCCAGCACCGGCCACCAGGACCCTGTCAGGTAGTCCACGCCATGCCTGGAGTGAAAGTTGTGTTAGGACTGTGATGTATGTGTTTAGCAACAGTTATAACGAGCAGTATTTACACAAAGTGAACTATGTGAGCCGGATGTGCATCTACTCACTTTGCACAGAAGTCATTGATGGCCTGCCAGTAGTTCTCATGGACAGAGAACCACTCGCAGTCTCCAGGGCCGATGTTGATGTTCACCGAGCAAAAGTTATTGTTCTCCTGGTGACCTGTTGATTAAGCACACGATATCTTCTGTCATACATAATGGTATTTCTCATTTTGTAAATCTTAAATCAGTAACGACATTGTGATTTATAACTCAGAAAAAAGTATTCTATCCCATTATTAAGGGTTACCTGGCGTCCGGCTCCCTGGGACCTTCATGTAGAGCTGGACTGTGTTCATCCCGAGTATGGTGTGTCCAACATGACTCAGCATATTTCCGCTGGATGCTACACGCATAAATGCTGGCAGCTTCTGCAACTCCTGAAGCTGGGGCTTCCACCTGAACAGAGACAGCAGGTTAGAACTGGTCCAACTAGAGGGCAATTTCATTTGTGCTAAAGTACTTGAAGAGCAACTTGCAGGTTATAGACACCAGTGACTAAATGTGTCGGAAAATGATGTATACACTAGATTTTCAAAAAGATATAGGCCTACATAAATACAGTGACATCTGGCGTTGTTTTTGTAAGACATTTTTACTTCTGCATAAAAAAATACCACCCGCGTGTGACGTCACATGAGAGAGCGGCCGGTCTAACGTATTAATAAACATGGTTCACAAAGCTAGTTTTGACACAGAAGAGGTTGAAAATGTATATTCATATGACGGATCACAACCTTATAATTATGAGCCTGCTATGCGTCCAAGAGACCAGGAGCAGCCAAGGATTAGAAGAAATAACGGCCATCGGAGAGAAATGGAGCTTTGGTGTGAGGAGAACCAGTGGAGAACAGAGCAGCTGTCTTCTTGGTGAGTGTCCGGCGTTAGCTACAGTTAATATTAGCTAACGTCACATCACAACATCGTAAAGTTAGCTATCATATATCAGGCTATAACTAAAGTAGTATTGATAATATAGTAACGTTACTGGCAGGACTGTAACGTTCTGATCCATAACAGAAACTAATGCGCAAGTATCAGCCGTATCTCGCGTTACCTAATGCAACTCCACACTATGTTACGGTGCTGTGTACCGGAGGGGGGAGAGAGAGAGAGGAGCGAAGGGGGGGGGGAGAGATGTAATACGGTTTCCTGATAAACATTTTGTTTGATAGGCCTCAGCTGAGTCCGAGAAAGTTGCTCCCCCATGTGACGTAAAAAAAACAGTTTTTAGTAGCAGAGCTCAAAACGGCTCCTTTCCCTCTGAATTGCTGCCCTTATGTCTCGTAAAACATATCAAATCCTGCATTCACTTTTTTAATTTGTAATTTTCAGGTAAGGTTAAGCATAAATCTAGTATAAAAAAACCCTGCAAGTTGCTCTTTAACCAGCTTTGGAATCTTATGTAATGGTAGCTTATATGTCGAAGATGCTCACCTCTTGGGATCTGAGAGGTCAATGTTGGTGCCAAACTTGATAATCTTCCCAACTGCTTTCTGCTCAGCACTGAGGAAAAAGAACACATGAAGTATTACGAGAAGTTACAAATCACTTGAGTGTTTCTGTACACTTTATGGTCTCTTAACTCCCTACCTGCTGCTTTCTTTAGAGATGTCCTTGCTTGGAGCATCAGAGCTTGTGGATGGCTGCTTCTCCTTCTCATCTTCATCATCCCTCGTCATCACTTGCCTTTCTCCTCCTGAAGACTCTCTTGGAAGCTGGATGCCTGGTACTGGGCATATTTGGCGATGGTGGTGTGGGAGCGGCTGCTCTCGCAGGGCCATGTCTGACCCGTCCCACTGGGGTCCCAGTTCTCATCAGCGGGCTGCTGCACCTGAGTCCTCACCTCCACCGACTGCTCTGCATTGGCTTCAACCAGTGACTTTGTAGAAAACAGGCCCAGGTCTAAAGATAATGACAGGGAATATTAGGCACATAACAGCCAATTGATGCAAATATATATATCTGTCTGTCGGTTCAAAGTATTGCAATAAATTAAATTCATTCACAGTTGCACAAGAGTTAACTTACTGAGTCGTAGGGATCCAGCCAGGCCTCTGACGACAGTAACAGGATTCTTGGGGTCAGTACAAAACTGCAGCAGCACAGGGGAGAAGGCGTCCCTCTTACTCTCCAACTACAGAGAAGAAAAGTCAGATCAATACACAACAAAAACAGCTACTGGAAAATGTGTCTCTCCACACACACACACTTTTTCCGTGTTTCCTATAATGATGTGAAACACACTCTCTAAGAAGGCCCACACACACATTTGTGTCTCACTTCCCAAGGTCTGTGGCATGCGTTTCTGTCTTCACACACGCTCACACACGCTCAGATTGTGAACACAACTGGCACTATGAATATGCCATGTATTAATGACGGTCATAAAAAGCACTTTCTATGACACCCCAGTCTATAAAAGCTCACAAAAGATATCTTCATTGTGTTAAAATCAGCTTTTAACAAACAAATATCAGTAATGCTTCACACAAATAATCACAGTTATTATTATTAAATTATAAAGCATTTAATTATGACTTCTTGGGTCAAGAATAATTTCAGAATGGAAGGTAATTCAATTAATACTTTCTTTCATAGTGTTTTATTTCTCTAATAGATGTTATATATAATAATGCAATTCAAATCAGACCCGTTAAACAAATGAATCAAACAACATTGTGTGTGTGGTTTGATGACGTTTTTTCTCCCTTTATTTGAAATAAAACGTTCTGGTGTCATACAAAAGTGTTACCAGAAAAGTTAGCTTACACCCCTTCTATGCATTTGACTCACTCGGCTCAGTATCATAGGTCAAAACACCCAAACATGATATCAAGTTCTGACTATATCGACTTCATTCTCACGCTGCTGCGTTTATCACCAGGAAGTCTGTTTTATTGCTCCTCTAACTCAGCGCCGGTCGTTATCGCTCTTGTTGCAATCAGCCTTACTGAAGATTGCAGCAGCAACACAGAGGTGAGTATTGATGCCCCGGGACGGGTGCTGACTGCAAACACAACATCACCTTCCAACCACTGTTGTGTAAACTACATACAGGTATTTACATTCCGTTGCTTTAAAGAATGTATTTTTGTGTACTCTTCGAATAAACTTGAAAGTGCCATCCCAACTTTCTTTCGTTGGCTGATGAATTGATCAACTATCAAATATAACAGTGAAGGAATGCTTGTTTACGTACATAGATGCTGGGTGTAGGAGGGTTGAGTTTCTCTCTGGGGATGGGTTCGTCTGGCATGACGGGCTTCACAGAGAAGGCTGGGAGAAGAAAGGACTCCCGGAACTTGTCTTTCACTCTGGCTCCCCTGCAACAGAAAATAGAGACCATGAAGATACAAAACATTCCTTCCCACACAGTGCACATAAGCTGCCTGATGGGCCAACCTTCTTTGCTAAACACATACTGCTTTTGCCTTATTTTATTTCATAGAAATATCTTACAGGTGGGTCATTTAGAGACGTAGTCAACACAAACACAGGTCAAATCTGTTTTTGGATCATTAGAAAATAGTGTTGCAAAAGCTATTTTTGCACAAACACAGGTGACATATTTTGTGCACCAGTATGGGTCACAAATGAAGCATCTTGTACATTGTCCACGTACATGCACCATATAAAATGCGCTACGGAGCACACTGGATTATCCAACACTATCATGTGTGTGAGGTCCAGTCTGCCCTCTCGTGCTTCAACTGAATTGGCATTTAAATGTGTAAGGAGATTCAATAAAAACGGCTCGAGTGGACAAGATTTTATATAAGAATGAAGAAGAAAAAACCCTCCTAAATAATAACGGTATGGTTTGACCAGGCATGAGACTCATTAATGCATTTAATGATTTTTAGAACAGCCTAAAGTGCACTTACTTGCAGGACCTGATGATCTCACTGGCACTGTTCTTAATGGTGATTTCCTCCAGTGGGATCCTCTTCTCCTCCACCTCAGAGGCCATGAACGTCTCCCTGTCCCCGCTCTCCACCTTGATGAGGCGGATCTTCAGCTCTTTGGGCGGCCCGTCCGACAGCGCCTTCAGTTTCAAGAAGTCTGTTGAACCCAGTGAAGAACCAGATTCAGAGTCTTTTCTGTCCTCAGAAGACCTTTCAGGACCCTCTCCTTCACTGGCGGAGCTGGTGCCGGACGCTCCGTCAGCTTTGTTTTTTCTGTGTCATAAATGATCCAGATTCTTCTCAGAGCCGTCCTTGCTCTGGAGGTTGAGGTCGCCGAGAATTCTGCGGTCCTTCTTTTCCTTCTTGCCATCCTTGTGCCGCTTGTGGCTGGAGCTGCAATGAGTGGAGGAAGATGATGATGAAGAAGAGGACAAGGCCATCTCCTCTCTCTTTTCTCTATGCTTCTTCTTTTCTTTCCTGTCTTCATGCTTCCTGCTGCTACTGTGGCCGTGCTTCCTCTTCTTCTCTTTCTCCCTGTGCCTGTCTTTGTCTCTGCGTTCTTTCACTTTCTCAGGTTTGTGTCTGTCCTCCACTTTCACTTGGCTATCGGATTTATCCACAGAGTTCTTGTTAGGAAGTGACTGTCGACTAAGCATGACCTCGCAGCTTTTGCCCAACTCAGCCAGAGAAGAGACTCGGAGATGGTCGTCAGCTGCCGCTCCTTCTTGACCACCTTGATAGGGTTATGATAGAAATACTCTCCTTTTTGTTGGAGTTCATTCGGTCTTCTGTTGAACCGCCGTCATCTCTCCAGACATCAGCGTCCTCTATTTTGAGTTTCTGATCTTCTAGTGGAGGGGGGGAGGACTTCAGAGGTGGGACAGCGGGACTGAATGGTGGATTGTTTGGATCTGAAGTGGGAGAGCTGCCTTGCTGCTGGCGACAGATATCCGGGCCCAGCGACAGTGAAGAGGAATATTTGACCCCGAGCAGAGCCGAGGGAGGTGGTCTCCCAAAAGGCCCACCACGGTAAGCATACTTCTGACTCTCTAGGACTGTTGCTAGGGATTTGAACATGCTGTTTACACCAGTTTGATGGAGGTGGGGTCTTTGAGGTGGTGGAGAACACGATGGTGTCTCAGACTCTTCTTCATCCTCCTCCTCATCAGCCTCACTTTTAATCTGCTCAGGGAGGCCATATAGTTTAGCCAGGTCACTGTGGCGGTAGTTGGTGTTCCCCACTCCCGTGTCCGCTGACCGCTTATGGTTCAGAGGGACATGTGAAGGTTTATGGCAATCCTCATCCTCCTCGTTCAGAGAAGACGTCCGGCTGCAAGGGGAAGCCAGAGAGCCTTGGCGACTGAGCACGGGGGGGCTAGCGTGCGGATTTGATCCAAAGTCTTCCTGGTTGGGCTGGTGCTTCAATGCTGGAATGAGGTCTGGGGCACACAGGTAGCTCTTGATAGGCTGGACACTAGGATTAAAGTTGTCAAGAAGACCTGTGGACCCTGTCTTTTCGCTGTTATACATCTCCTCTTCCTTTTGGATGGATTCATCCAGCATGGCCATTATGTTGGCCAGACCATCAGGGAGCAGCGTGGACATCTCGGAGGGCTCCTCCTCAAACTGGGCAGAGTCTGTGCCTGTTTCCAAACCACTTCCTGCCACAGGCTTGTTGAGGATTCCCTTCATGGAGCTGGAGGATAGAGGCGGGGGGAGGTTTTCTCTGGGAAAGGCCTGATAGAGTTTGGGGGGTTCTCGGAGGGCCAAGGCGGGGAGAGAGGGTACGCTGCTCTCTCGCTCCCTGACGGAGTCTTTGGATTGGTTGGGCGCGGCTTGCATAGCCGGGGGCTTGTGGGGGTACATCATCCCTGAGGTATTGTGTGTTGATGAGGGACTGAATGTCGTTCCGCTATTGTTGCTCCACATCTCCCTCTGCCTCTGCTTCTCTCTGGCATACTCCGTCTGAGGTGTAAGAGGGGGCGGCCGCAGCCTTTCTACTGGAGTGATGGTGGGGGGTGTCAGTGCTGGTGGTGTGGGGAGCACACCCCCACGGCTGAGCCAGGGGTAAGGGGGAGAAGTCTGGGCACTGGGGGGAGAGGGACCTGAGGGAGGAGCAGTAACAGAAGAGAGACGAGAAGGGGGGGGTGTTGAACAATTGTTGCCGGAAAGCAGTCTCTCCAGATTCTCAATTGCAGTCTGCTCTTTGCCTTTTGCACTGCTCAGTTCCTCCTCCCTCCTCCTCCTCCTCTCCTCCTCCTCCTCCTCTTTCCTCTCCCTTTGTTTTTTAGTTTCTTCATCCCGCCTCTCCAGTTCTCTCTTCTTTTGCTCCTGCTTCTCTGCTTCTCTCCTCTTCCTCTCCTCCTCTTGCCTCTCCCACTCTCTCCTCTCCTTTTCTTGCTCCTTTTTCTCCCACTCTCTCTTTTTCCTCTCCTCTTCCTGCCTCTCCCACTCTCTCCTCTTCCTCTCCTCCTCGAGCATCTCAGATTCTCTCTTCCTCCTCTCTTCATCTTGCCTCCTTTTCCTCTCTTGCTCCTGTCTCTCCCACTCTCTCCTTCTCCTCTCCTCCTCTTGTCTATCATGGTCTCTCTGCTTCCTCTCCTCTTCCTCTTTCCTCTTTCTCTCCTCGTCCCGCTTTTGTCTTATTTCCCATTCTTTCTTCCTCCTCTCCTCTTCTCTCAGTTTTCGCACTTGATCCTCTCTGTCCCTGCTCCTCCTCTCTTCAGCTTGCATGTGACCCTCCAGCTCTGCATCAAGTTTGTCTAGAGCCTCTTCGATGGACTGAGGGACAGAGATCGGAGCGGGGGGAGGGAGCTGAGGCTGGGGGTATGCCTGAGGCAGGGCATACTGTGACTGATGAGCCGGTCTGGAGTGGGAGGGCTGAGCTGCCGTGGAGCGGTACGTGTGAGGAGAGCTTGGAAGAGGATGTGAAAGTCTGCTTGTGATCACACTGTCCCCTGTCCTCTGGTGTCCTGAGGAGAACAGAGAGGAGGATGACGAAGGAAATGGAGGGTTCTCCAGTTCTGCCTGAGCGTAATACGACGTCTTCCCCTTCAGTGGCCGGGCGCTGTTGGGTCCCTGTTGATGGTAAGGCTGGTTGCCGGGGGCAGCTTGGCCTCTCTGACATCCTGGCTGCAGCAGAGCATCCAGCTGAGGGGTGGGGCCAGGGATGCCACGGGTGGAGGTAAGGGGTGCCGGCTCTCTTCCTCTCTGCCAGCTGCTGTTACTGCTGCCATTGTTCACAGGGCAACCAGCAGGGGGTGATGTGGTCACCGTGGACACAGCAGCCATGGTTACACTAGTAGAGCTCCTGTTGTTGCCGTAACCACCGATGGAGCACGATGACTGGGGTGTGGGAAGGTTGGCGGTGATGACAGGTGTCCGGGTGGAGTTGGTTAGGGGTAGAGGGGGGAGGACATGATGTTGATGCTGTGTAGGACCCCGACTGTCCACCAGCTGATTGTGGCTCTGCTGGCGCTGAGGTAGCAGTCCTGGAGGCCTGTAGATGCCCGACTCCTGAAGAAACACATACAGAACAATTCATTATTATTATTAATTATAACAGAATAAAACATCTGCTGCTCCATATGAAAAGACTACAGCACTGATAACTGCAGAAGAACCAACTGACGTTAAACATGTTTTATATGAGCTTAATGAAAACTAACATATCCACAGGATGTCATGTTTCCATCACTGCTGATCGGAGCTGAAACCCATATAAGAACGTGACTGCTGCAGAGTTATTTCTCTTGAAAATCAATAGCTTTTGAATGCAACCCACACTTTAGACACAAGCCAGCTGGGTTGTTTTTTTGAGTGGGAAGGGGCTTTATACTCACGAGGGAGTGACTGCTGGGCCTGCTCTGGTATCTCCAGGCCTCATGGGGCCCACTCTGCAGGTGCTGAGGTACTGAGGTGCTGCTGGCAGGAGGAGGACCCTTGTGCCCCAGCCCTGGGTGAGGCTGGAAGTGGCTGTAAGGCACACTGCTGCTGGTGGTGGCAGGCGGGTTTGCTGGTGACGATTGGGCGTGTGGGTGTTGATCTCTGTCTCCCCTGGTTGGGGTGCATGCCGTGTGAGAGGTAGCTTGGCTACCACCTTGGCCCCCGATGAGAGGGCCTCTCTGGCTGTGAGGACCCAGGAGCCCCAGTTTGGAGCTTGGGCTGGGGTAGGAGGAGTGAGGAGACTGCTGGTTTACAGCCAGAGGTTGGAATGCGTCTTTCTGGAGCTGAGGGGCAAATCCCTGGTTGTAGCTTCCCAGGGTGGAGTTTTGTGGAGGCGAGAGGTTTGAAGCGGTGGAGGCAGGGGAGGACTTCTGGGCGTAGCTACCCATTCCTTGTTTGTTGTTTTCCTGAGGAACAAAGCAACAATCATTAGAGTAATAAAGACTAACAAGGATCAGTGCTGCTTTTAACAAAAGAGAGGGAAATCCATTTTGGGCATGGTGTGATTTACAGCCCAGCAAACAATACCCTGTCAGGCTCAGACAGCCAACAGAATCAATACATTTTTATGGCACCACTCAGCCCAATAAAAGTCTTCCTATTGGCTGTGGTCAATAGTAAAATATTAACCTCTGGCTCCTGGTAGCATATAGCTAATGAAGGGACTTTCTCTTACTGTTCTGAGCTGGAAGTCCTGTGATTGTGGATGTTTGCGTTCAGACATCTGGGGCTGCCAGGGAGTGCTGTTGTTTTTGTGAAGGGGGTTCCAGAAGGCAGCTTTTGGAGGGAGGTGGTGGGCTGAAGACTGGTGCTGAGATAACAAAGACTGGCCTGGCACAGGGAAACGCTGCAGCCCGGGGTGGGATACCTGCAAAGATAGTGGAACATTACAATGTTTACCAATCAAATAACTGATAAACGAGAGCAAATAACATTTTAGGAAATAAATCGAGAATTGAGGTCTTTGAGATCCAATTGTTTTGGTCCAACAGATGAATATACTGTTCGCTCCGGTTTCATACCTGATCTGAACTCTTTTTCCGTTTGTTGGGACTGGGACAGTCCTCTGCAGCTGGGCGGGAGGACGGGTGCATGGGGGGTGGAGGAGTGTGCTGGATGACAGAGTGCTCTCCCAATGGAGGGCCCGGTCTCTTCAGCTGACCCCCGAGCATCTTCCCTGGGTAGCCCCTCTGCTGTGGACAGAAAAAGTGGCTCTGAGAGAAGCATATGGCTTTCATCTGTCTGGCTGCATCAGATATGACAGCGACAACACAGATTGTTGTAGGTATGCATGTGTGTATGGAGGATTGAGGATGAAACATGATCATAGCCAATTAAATAGCTCCTACCTGGTGCACCTGAGCCCACATCTCTTCTCCCAGCAGTGGTGGACCCCGGGGAACATGCTGCTCCTGAGGACCCCCAAACTAAAGCACACACAAACACAACTGTTGGAGACATTTCCTTCATAATTACAGTTTGATTAACTCTGTTGTAGAAGTGTCTGGAGACGGATCAAAGAGCTGTTTTTGTTATGTTTTTTCCAGATAAAGTTTCTGTTCATGACAAACGTTTTTATGCAGCACATTTGGATTACAAAACAAATAAGAATTGTTTCAATGATCTAAGAATTTCATCAATTTATTGGAAACAAATTAAGGATAGTCCAAAAGCAGAACCCCGGACAAAGGACAGTGGCTTTATTATTTTACAATTTGATTTAAAAAATACATTAACCATAAGCCTTTATTTTCATCTAGGGAAAAGCTGATAACTACCAGAGTATCACCTGCAGCACTGTCACTCACCTTCAGCTGTTGGTTTGGCCTGCTGGGGCTAGATGGGGGTTGAGGGGTAGATGGGTGTTGGGGGCTAGGTGGGGGATGGGGGGTGGGCCGCTGCTGCCTGCATAGCCGCCATTATGGAGGCGGAGTGAGTGCTCATTTGGCAGTGGCACGCCAGGATGTCCTTGAGGAGGGAGGTGGGAATCATACAGCTGACCTAGTTGCTCCCACGCTCTGTGGGGGGGTGGAGGGTGAAGATGATGATGAGGAGGCCTCTGCTGCTCCCTCTGCACACCTGGTACCATTTGCTGGGGAAGCTCAAGCTTCTCACCTCCACGCATTGGCCTGGATAGAGAACATTTGTTAAACAGAAAGAAATCAAATCTAAATGACACCTAACACTTGCTTTATCATGTTTTTCCTGTAGATGAACTACCCCCATGCTGCTTTCTAAATGACTGATGTTTTTGTGCATGACTTACCCATTTCCAAATAATTTACTGGGATGGTTGAGTCCGCCCATAGGACCAGGAGGTAGATGGGAAAGGAGCTGGTGTTGGTTCATTCCAGGCGAACACCTGATGAGAAACAGCACACACACTCCAGTCAGAGAACATCTCCCGAGATTGTTAAGTACGTTTAAGATTTTATTTCAGTGTTGCTGTAAAACTTAATCACAGGTTTAGGCTGATGCATTAAAGGTAACAACGGGGCACAGCAAAGTTTGTGTTGGCATGGCGACTGACCTCGCAGGTGGCTGCCAGGCGCGGCCGCCCACGGGAGCCCATGGTCCCCGGTTGAGTCCGTCCAGAGGGAAGGAGTCCCGTGTGCCACGCCCGCCAAACTGCTCTACTGCGTGATGCATCCAGCCTGCAGAAGTAACATGTCGTTTACTCACACGCTTTCATACAGAACAACATATTATCTATAGCCTATCATCGCATTAATTGACAAATAGAATTAAAATCACTTTGTTATTGTTATAAAGTATTCCTTTCACATATTGTGGTATTTAGGTTGGACTTGTGGTCAAATGACTTCTCACTGCAACAACAGAGTTTGACAGATTACCCTAAAAAGTGACTACACTACAATTTCTATTCAGCCCATTCAAAGTATTGGCTGTAGCTGAGACTCAGATTACAAGATAATAAGAGAGAACAATCATTGTAACTGTATATAGAACAGCAGTATGTAGTGTTACCATACACTTACAATAACACACAGTCTGTCATTAAAGTGACTCACAGAGCTCCTACTCACCAGACTAGCGGAGTGTGTGAAGCCCTCCACTGCAGCACAGAGAGGGCCTCACTCACTGAGAATGAATGTACTGTCCAATGCCTCTGTCTTTAGCACCAGGAACCCCAAAGCCTATTGGCTACAGAGAGAGAAGAACAAGAGAGACACTTTGAGAACAAGCGAGACACAGACAGACTGAAAAGTCATTAAATGCCAGTGTGCCTGCAGAGAGAGCAGGGGGTACAAATATAGCGTAAGTTGTGACTACAGAGGCACCCTGATTGAAATCCTCTATTCATTTTATTTACATCTTATTCTCACCACTGACATTTTCTTCAGATGTTGTGTCAGTATGGACTTAGGAAAAATATGCTTGAAATCTTGAAATGATGATGGATGTCTTTGTCTTGTGGCAAATGAATGAGTCAGTCCGCCTGTAGGAGGCGCCAGTTAGCCAGTGAGTCCTGATCACATTATTACTGAGGCCCAGATGGCTCAGTGGGGAGCTCACCTACGAGGACAGACCTGGGGTTACTGTAATCCTTACCATGGGCGTCCTGATAACAGGAGACAGAGGGAAAGACTGAAAAGGAGAGGCGCTGGTCACATGCCAAGTGTGTCTGTGTGTGCAAGTGTGTGTGTGTGTGTGTGCAAGTGTGTGTGTGTGTGTGTGTGTGTGTGTGTGTGTGTGTGTGTTGTCGGAAGCGGTGCCAAGTGTGCAAGCTGTACGGTCATTTCAGGCTTGTGCTGATTTAGTGCATGCGAGAGAGAATAGTGTTCTCTCCTAAGTGGATGATTGTGTGTGTGCTGCAGCGCTCTGAAGTGTGTGTGTGTATATATATAAAGTGTGTGTGCATGCCCGGTGGATACACTAAGGTTTAATCTCATTACGGCAGGCGTGATGGAGAGGGAGAGGGGGGCAGCAGCGACAGACGGTCTGAACAGGATGGAAGGCTAGATTAAGGAGAAATGATGGAGAAGGAGAAGAGGGAAGGGATGGAGGGAGGTGGAGTGGAGAGTCGGAACGGTGCCATGAAAACGCCCACACACCTTCCCACACACACAAATACACGGAGGCCACACAAAGGAAAGCGGTTGAGGGTAAAACGCATAGAAGAAGCTGAGAGATAACTCCCTCCCCTCCCTGCTTTCTGAAACAACACACACACACACACACACACACTACAAAAGACAGGGGGTGTTGAGATACAAAGAAGGCTGTGTTTCAAAGTACCTTTGGTTTAAAAAAAGACAACAAGCAAGATCCCTGACAAAACCTGAGAGGGATGAATTCGCACCTACACATTTCCCGATGCTGTTGAAAACAAGTGTTACAAACACATCCCTGCACTGAAGACGTTACACATAGAATCACTTGTTCTGTCATCCCTGTTAACTTGATTGCAAGATTAAAGCGAAAATATCCAGCCTCAATCTCTTCATCACTTAACCCTAATAAGGATGGCACACATTTAAAGATGACAAGACTTTTTTTTAATGGAAGACGGATTTAATCACCAAACAAAAGCAGTTATCCTGACATGCTCCCATTTGCATGATCCATTACTTGTCACGAACATGTCAAACATAACATTTTGAAAGCATAATAATGTATAATGTGCACACACAGGGTATGATTCATTTATCTCTCCTAGCACAGCACTCTTCCACCAGATTTCCTAAATTAGCTCTGGTTCCTCCCACCAGTTTCTCTTCTCTGCCTTTCTTCCACCCACCAACTCTGGATCTCTCCGTCTATTTACAGCCCAGAAGGGGATATTTCAATCTCTGTACACTGTAGCTTGTGAGGAGTGGTACTCGACAGTGACACGCCTTCTCTTCCTCCTCTCACAGGCATCATCATCATCACCATCATCACCATCATCATCATCACCATCATCATCCACCAGGCTCTGCTGCTCACTGAAGAGATGCTGGCATAGAACTGTCAAGGCTGCAGTCTGCTTTAAGACAAAGCAATACAAACACACCCTCATGCTGAGCTTACCTTTCAGAGTAGCACCAAGTTATTGATTCACAGTTGTGTTATGTCTCAGCTTCTGCTGCCAATCATCTCTCTGGGGTCTCCTCACCCCTGAAAGACAAAGGACACAAAAAACGTCATGTCAAGCTGTCAAAAAAACAACATGAAGCCACGCTTAACACAATACTCGGGGGTATGATGATATACGACGCCTCAAAGCATATGATATAATAAGGGTGAGGGGTGGTCTCTGCTTTCAACATGAAGAGACAACCTCTTTGTCCAGCTGCTTCTCTTTCTCACTTTCTACACTGAGAATCGGCACCAAACCCTCCTGGTGTCCTGACTTCTGAGGTGACTCCTGGTTTGCGAGCAGTGTTGAAAACTTGAAAATGGCTGAGAGGCAAAGGGGTAAATCAGCAGGGAGACCGTGACAATGGGAGCGAGGGGTTCTCTTGTTCACTCACTGTCTCTTTCTCTTCTCTCACACACACACACACACACACACACACAATGGAGAGACTACGTGTGCAGCTTAACAGGCAGCCAGACACACAAACAAGGCTGATCTCACTAACAGGAAGAGTCGGGCTAGCCAAGTCAACTATCACACATGAGAAAGTTGGCTGGGGACACATAGCAAAATAATAAAACACATAGTATATTGGAGAAATGGAGACTTTGAAAAGCACAGAGACATAAAGAAAATCGAGAGGCCCATCTGTTGCTGGTGAGTGCAAACGGGGACAAAGTGGAGAGGCTGTAATTACCACTTTTATACAGGGTGTGTGTTTATGTCTGTTGTGACCAAATGGTCTATTCCCGTTGCTACCCTGGCTATCACATTGCTCACAGTCTATCTACCAGCACAGTGTGAGAAACTCAGTACTCTGAAACAAGATAGTGTACACAGACGGCAGACAGTGTTACATACCAGCTTGGGTTCTATCAGATGATACCAAAGTGATGAAATGTGGTTATGCCGATCAGTACTGTATGTGTATCGAGGGAAAAGCAAGCGCTGTGTGAGCATTACTCATTTTGTTTTTCAGGGAACCCCCGTTGACTCGGCGCCCTGAAAGAGGGCTTACCCTAAACAGCTCGCCCTGAACTCCGCCCTCCTGTGATACCATTTACAGTCAGGTGACCGGGGGCGTGTTTTTGCACCGGTTAAGATGACAACTGCGGGAATTTCTCGGGCTTTGTGATGTCATTTCTGCTTCCTATGCAGTGTGACGCATGGGTTTCTTGTGTAAGTGTGTGAAGACAGACAAACAGGATGTGAGGACGAGCTGCAGGGGAGGTTTCACGGCCACGAGAATAATCAAACTACTACCAAACTGCAGGTTCAAGATGATGAGGCAACTTCCGTGATCATGCTGAACACAACAAAGTCTGGTTGTTGTGTTTATAACTCCTGAGCAACAACATCTCTAGCTTTACCTCAGTAGTTTTAGTGCAGTCAAATTAACTGAAAGACTTCTGTTATTGTCTTGTTGGTCTCTTTAGCAAAAGTATACACTGCTCATACACTACATTTCTGCTAAATAGATAACGCAATCTGCTGGTAGATAGAAAATTCCCCACCGGCATATTTTTAGTGAAATGTCCACATTGGCAGAAGACATCAAAGAGGTGTTCCTGTCAACGCCCTCTGTGTAGTAGTTCCATTAGTTAGTCTTTGTCGCAGCAGCTCCATCTATGAGCTGGGCCTACAGGAAGAAGGTTTGGCACAGAGACAAAGCTGTACCAACTGTCTTTAGCCAGATCAATCTGAAAGTTAAAAAGGAAAAAAAAGAAGCTCTTTCTGTGGCAACTAACAAAGGAACAGATAACCATCAATGAATCAGCTGTGACACACAAACCAAAGTCACATCCTTAGACACTTACTACGAACATGAGCTGCGGGGAGCAATTTGCAGAAATTAAGATGTTCAGATGACGTCTGTTTCTGAGCAGCAGCCTAATTTATTCGCCCTCAGCCTTCCTTGCTAACCACTGGCCTGCTCTGGTCCCAGGACAGACAGCCACACTGAGGCCATGATAGGAAAACAGGCTGAGGAGAGACGAGGCAGTAGTGGCATACACTGCAAAGAATCTCTATTGGTACAAGTGTTACAATTATAATTCTAGAAAAAACAAGTAGGATTTGACTAGATGGGTCACCAGACAGCTTACACTGAGAGTGGCCATATAAAGACCCAGAGGATGAGACCACTAACAAATAAAACCTAGGGGGGGCTGATGGCAGGCAGCTGTAGAGTGTTACTGTTCTGGTAAAGTCACTGTAGTCTTTCTGATAAGAAATGACCAGATAAGGCAGGGTGAAGTGGCTGATAACAGAAAACAGAGCGAGGGAAAAAGATCTGGCAGCAATGAGTTTCTGGCCAGGGATGACGGAAAGGCCATGCATGGTCCTGCCTCCCTGCCTCCCTGCCTCTCTTGTTCTGTCCTGCCTCGCCCTCTCTAGTCCATTTGGCCATTACATAATCAGCCCCAGATAAAGATAGAGTTCTGAAGGAAACTCCAAGGATTTCTCCATGTCTCTCTCATAAACATGTTATATTGTCTGTGCGTGCGTCAGCCAGCCGTTGGAAGACTGTGATGCAGTATATCACATGACCACACCGTCACACACACAGCAAATCAGAGGACGCTGTCCTAGCCATCACACAGGGCGGTGTGGGGTAGACAAGGACACGGCCAGCAAACATTGTTCCAGCACACAGACACAGAAGCGTCTGACCTCCATGATGGATGATTATCTCCCAAATAGCGCAACCCTTCTTTCAGGAAACAGAGCTCTGAACCTAACCCTCTACCCAAAGAAAACCAGGCCTTCATGCTCCACAGCAGCACGCCATAACATGCCAGATAAAAGCTCTTCATTTTCACACTAGGCCTACACCAGCTTATGTATCTACACTTAGGCCTAAACACAGGGGGAGGAAGATTCTAAATATTCACATTTGAACTCTGTTGGGGTGAGGATGTTTCTTATTTCAACATTCAGTACATTTTTTAAGTGATAAGTTCATTTTAGCAGCAGCCACAAACCCAGCGGCCTTTCACCACCTCTTTTTCCATTGGTTTTTAACTCTAAAGCAAATTAAAATGTTGATTTCCGGACCCCCAGTGGCAATGGCACACTGACAAGAAACAGTTGGCCTATATTTGTATCCGTTTGTGGAAAAGAAAGCTAGCATGGAGGAGGGGGGGGCTGGTAGGAAAACATGAGGTTCCTTTTGTCTCCTGCACTCAGAACCCAGACATCTGGGCCTGGGACTGACAACACACAACTTTCTCACTGACACACACAGAGCTGTGTTGCACGTGTGTGACGTTAACAAGAAGGGGAACAGAGCGCAGAAGAGAGAGGAAGCTGTCGTCACCCCCACAGGAAGAAGGCCTTCCTGAGGGGTGTTTGTGTGAGAGAGAGAAAGATAGGCCTTGGGGAGGGGTTTGATGGCAGAGGCTTCCTGTTGTAAAGATATGAACTGTATGTTTTTAGTGTGTCTGCAAAAGCTTTTAGACTGTAATAAAACAGATGAACGTGATCTCATATGACTAGTCCGTCTCTCATGATGTGAAACAAGGATGCTGGTCAGTTTTGGTACTAAAATAGACCTCAGACACATAGTCATCTCATGTGAACGGCACGTGTGTCCAACTCATGAGTCATGACTCACACAAGCCTAGTCAACAAAAACGAGACAGTCAACTGACTTGAAAATACATTTACTCATCTGACCACGGGTGTAAAGACAAAATCCTTGTCTGCCCTCTTTTTAGCTTCTGGTTTAAGGGAATGACAAATATTATGGATGGTAGTATGAGTGTGTGTGCCTTTCCTCCCAGTCACTTGTGCTCCCCGCTTCATGTTCTCAGAAACTGTCTCTTACAGATGAAACACCAATTTAGATTTCTCAACAGTCCTAACACATGAAGCTGCCTGAAATGAGTGGTGTGTGTGAGACAGAAAACATTGTGATTCAACACCTGGCTTGTGACTCTAAAGCAAGGAAAACACTGTAAATCCTGACAAACCTGGAAATATGAAAGGACGTGGGCGATAACTAAAAACTGACAGCGACTTGATCATCGTCACTTTCGATTTCCACACTAGCGCAACCTCAAAACCCCCCAAAGTTTTCTTTCTGCTTTCCTGGGTGATTCATTGAAAAACAAAATGGTACACAGCACATCACATTGCCTCAAACTGCAAAATCCCCCTCCCTCACACTGCTCCGTCTCTCAAGGTGCTTCTTTTCCAAATCCAGGACAAACACATGCTCAGAAATGCACTAAACAAAAAGGAGACTCTGCTTCCTTGGTAACAGTTGCCAAGGAAACGGGACGCGTCTTCACTAACTGTTAATAAACTAAGATAGAGAGGCAAAGATGGAGCCATAATTCATAAAAGGGTTTATATGAGGTCTTTACGGATCAACATGTTTACTGAGACCCCACATGACACATTTAGAACATAATCCAGATTATTTGAGCTGAGCACGACCTTTTGCATAAACGTTGGGTTTAAGAATCAAGGTATTTTCAGTTAAAACAATGGGCTGTTAAATAAGGTACGTCTCCATCCCCTGTGAGTCTTGCCTACCTCTATCTTACTGCTGTTGGGCAGGCTCTTCTGTTACAGTTCATATGAGATGATGAAGATAGTGAGCAGGATGATCACAGCACGCTAGTGGAGAGTTTGCCTACAGTGGGTGTAATTACCCACCAATCATTTTCACTATCAGAACAACCATGACACAGGCTGACACTGGCTGTTTTATCTTCATTTGGGCCGGTTTACAGATTCCTAAAATACCAATGTTGAAGATAATACAAGCATTAGAAAAAACCTGGACACAACTACTCACTGGTCCAGTGATCACTCATGTTGCCAACGTGAACAAGGTGGGTAAAAGTAGTCATCGGAGGAAAGGGGGAGGTAAAAAAGGAAGGAAGAAAATTCTTTCCTAGGTGTGTGAATGTGTGTAGCTCTGTATGAGTCACACAAACAGTGTGTAGGTTTGCACCCTCTCCTTCTACCATGGCATCATCATCAGTGGCTTAGAGCCAGAGATAACAGGAACTGAAGTCAAAGGGAAACTTTCTCTTTTCTCTCAGTGGGCTGAACCGGAAAAAGGGTTGTAAACACCCTCTTACTCTAACAGCTTTAATCAGGGTGGAATCGATTCCCAGACAATATTATTATTTTCTGATAGAATTGTTGATTCTCTGTTCATGCAGCCATGTTTTGAATGTATGACTAATGTTAACAGAAAGTCTAGCCTCTCGTCTGTATAACAGGGTCCTGCTGGTCAAGACAAATAATGAGAAATATGTAATAAGGACCATGACTTTACTCATATACTTACATGATTGAAATTATCCAAACTATTATTTCCCTTAACATATGGCAAACAGTACAGAAGTTAAGCTTCCTTGGTGGTTCTCTGGAGGAGAAATGACACCCTTAACTGGAAGGACTGCACCCAAACAAACGTTTCATCATGACAGCCAATCCCTTCCTCCACCAGATGAGACACACACAGCTCTTGTTTTATCACCATCAACAAGTTTTTTTAGATGAGTAAGCACTTTTAGCCAGGCTACTGACCCACTTCCAATGCAAGCCACACACATGTAGGACAAATCTGAATTAGATCAAAGTCATCTTCATTTGCTTAGGACACACATACATATGGGGAAAGAGGGGTTGGGCACACACACACACACACACACACACACACACACACACACACACACACACACACACACACACACACACACACACACACACACACACACACACACACACACCTCTGCTGCTTACTCAAGGTGTGTGTCACTCACTATTGTTGATGTAGCAGCCGTATAGCCAACGCCATCTGTCCTCCTGGCGCGTGTGTATCACTTTAATATTCTTCATGTTCGTCACAACTCATAGTAAAATGGGCGGCGATTGTTCATTCATTCACTCTCACACACTCCTATTGAGATCGCGGGACAAACGGGGGCGGGGATCGCTGAGGCAGCACACACACAGCCGGACAGCAGTGTGCGTGGAGCGATTTGCAGCTTTAAAACTGTGTACAACCCGACATCAAACGCTGCGCTGGTTTCCATGCCGATCGATCTGATTGATAGGAAGTGAACCTTCAAAGGCTTCGCTTTTTTGTTTTCTTCACGACCCCATGCCAGCACACTCCACTCTTCCTGATATCACTGCTGCTCCTTTAGTGTGGGCAATAAAGTGACAAATAAGCCCCCCTGCCAGCCACAAATTCTCATCAACTGCTTGTCCGATGACCAGTGGAAATAACTTTTAACGTCAAAACCACCAATATCGACAATGATTATGCAAGAAGACATTACCACGCCCCCAGACTACTGGACTTTGTCCCGGTTTGACTTGTATTGTTTTTATATATTGTAATCATCGCCGTGTGTAGTTGTGTTTCAAACGATCAAAGCAATATGGAAGTCAGCTGGATATTTCACGGTGTATAGCCTAAGTAAACCCATATGACTCCAGTGCGCTTTATTATCATCAAAGAGTGCATATGCCTCAAGAACAGCGCCAGATAAGTGCTTTAAAGTTAAAAAGTCCCTTCAGTTTGGACAAGTGTTCCCTCTTAAAAGTGAGAATTAGATAACACATCACGTTGACCAAACAATAGTATGCGGTCAGACTTTAGTGCACTGCCTGAAACCTAGACCTAAAGGACAGACAGCCCAAAACACCGCCCCTCCCCCCATAAAGAGAGGTGATGCAAATCACTTCCTTTCAATCCGGCTCTTTGTGTGCGTAAGGATTGACTGGGGGTGATGGGGTGGCCGCTATCCATTCACTTTATACGGCTGCCGACCTCAGTGATCCTGCCCACCCCCACTCCAGCAGAGCCACCTCACACACACACACAATGGCGTGAGATCTCCTTACACAGGCACTTTTCTCTCCCTGTCCTCTAGTTCTCCTTCCCTTTTCTAGCCATAGGATGATCATTAGTTTACAGGCTAACAATGACCATACTAACCCGGGATGTCCCACAGCAATGTGAGCGTATGTCATTTTCTATATTCGATGTATAGATGTATAACTACGACTAGCCTACGTTGTACAAACAAGTATTCACATGGGCTGAAACATATACAGAAATATAGACTCCCAGATAGATCTCCGTGGGATAAAAACCTTTAAAAAGTTGGGCTTTTGACATCCTAAAGCCCCCTATACCCTAACTGCATATCAAAGCCAATTTTCAGAATCGCTCCAATCCACGTGCACTGAATGATTAAACATGTAGCCTACGGTAAAGGTGATCAATGATCTGAAGTGAGACACAAACGCGTGGGATTTAACAGTCACCCGTGGTTTAGAATAAAAACTCAACGAAATGTCCCCACATCATCAATTTTTAGACGATCAATGGTTCCTCTCTGATCAACCAGCCTGCAACAATCCCCCAGTGCTGTCCTGGATCCCAACAGAACAGAGCCTACTTCAACCAACAAGAAAATACAATGTAACAACACAGCTCTCCAATGAAGGGATATCACTGTAACTTATTTTTACACCAACACTGACCTGCCTGCTATCAACCAAAACAAAGTGGACAGGAAGAAACGCTCAGCGGCACAACACTCACCGTTCATTCAAATATTTCAAATGGGCGCTCCAGAAATAAAAATAATATCCAAATATCAAGATGTATCCTGTTCCTTGAGCTACACGGTAGCTTAGATAGTCTTTGAATCCGCAAGCCTGGAGCTCCGGGTCGGCAGAGAAAATCTCGACGAGCCGGCTGAGCGCAGCGCCTTCAGCCTGTAATCCCTTCTAGTCTCCGTCGTTTCCTCTCGAAACAACCATGAAATATGAGCCGCCGGAGAGCCGGTCAGATGTCCGTGATAATGTTCTTCTTCTTTATTTTGATATTATTCCGTTTGATGGCTGCCCCTCTCTCAGTCTCTCCGCGTCGAGCTCCTTTTCCTCTGCTTCACACAGCCGGGCAGGCGGAGGATCGAGTTGCTCTGAGCTCTGTTTTAAAGGGACAGAGCCATGCACACTCAAAAACGCGCACCACCAAGCAGAGGCGCGCACTCGCGTGACGTCATCGCACGTCCCCGGAATTCCCTGACAGCGTAAACTGGCACCGAGTCCCGGTACCGGAGCTGCCCCTCCTCCTGGTGGGTTTAGTTCCTTTTCATTTCAATACACAGTGTATTTCGGGCGGACTCGTGACCGACTGTAACAGCGCCACGCAGTATTACCGTGAGCGTCTATTTATGGATGAGGAAGAGTACCCCACATAGCCTATTCACGCAGACAGATCAGTATCACAGTGTTATGATTAGATTGAGTGCACTATAAATAGGCCCAGGTGTCGCTATACTGGCTAAATGTTCTGGATTAAACATATGAATGGGTTATAACATCAGATAGATAGTATATGGGGTTAAAAAGCCCACACACTGCATCATACATCATTTATAAATAGATTTGTATATGGAACCCTGTTCTTAATTTAGATTAACTGGGAGACATTGGAAACAATTCTACACTACTAAACGGGCACCTTTCATAAAGGGTTTATAAGCTGTAATTAATGACTTTATGAAAATGAATAAACATTTACCCAATGGTTTATATTTCTGTTAAAGGCAAAATGAGTAGACTTATAATAAAATAATCCTTCTCAACCATCTGACCCATTACAAGTGTGTGGTGGTGTCTGTATCTGCAGAGCGGTGTTCAGGATGTCTATAGGAGGTCAACCTCCAGCAATCGGGTGACAGACTGTCAGCACACATCATGAAACTATGAGAATGGCGGACATAGAACAGAATAAAACCCTCATTTGTGTCAACTATGATTCATTGGATGTACACATGGTTTAAGCGTTGCACAATTCTTAGTAGACAAATAGAGAGTGATCTTTAAATGCTGAACAATATCTAACATCTAATGTATTAAAAATGATTACAGTACAAGAATGTAAATAAAGTTAGAGTTAAGCGGTTAATTTATGTTTGATTCATGTCCGGTAGGTTACATTCTTATCTTACTTTTCATAACTGTGCACATGGAATGTGTGAGGTCCAGACAGGGCAACAGTAGATGAAAGAAAATATCTGTACAAGACTAATATACTGGCAGCCAGCTAAAGGCATTAAAAAACACAAGTAAGTCTTTCCAAGGCCGGAAACATTTGCTCCAGCGTTTCCCCGCCAAACTAACCATCCTGTAATAATGCCAAAAGCCATACTGGTATATAACCAACAGTATGTGTCATACGTAAACACGCACACGCACACGCACGCACACACACACACACACCGACACTACACACACACACACACACACACACACACACACCCACACACACACACACACACACACACCACACACACCACACACACACACACACACACACACACAACACACACACACACACACACAACACACACACACCCACACACACACACCACACACACACACACACCACACACACACACACACACACACACACACACACATTATATTTAGAAAGCACTGCCTCAGCAGGACAGGGGTCCTAAATTAGCTGCTGCAGGGAGAATGGGAATGTGTCATGGATTATGCTGAGAAGATGACACATGCTGTTTATTTATGGACATAACAATTCTCATAAAAAAAATAAACATTATAAAACCTCTCTGCCTCAGTCTTTCACAACAGTCTTTTTTGAGATAACTGAAGACATTTCTATTAGCAGGCAGTGAAGAAGAGGTGTGTCTGTGCTACATTCAAACCCCTGATGAAGTAAGTGCATGGCGTGTGTACCACCATGGTGGATCTGGAATCTATTGTCAAGGCACAATGAATGTTCAATAATGTGTTTTGTGTTGAGAAAGAGGAGGAAGCCAGCACAGTGGGGGCCTTTATGACACTTGGAGTCAGTGTGCTTGTTTATGGATTCTCTGTTTTTGTTTGGTAAAAGGCTGTGTGGAGAAATCGGGAACATCTTGGGACAGATACAGTAGTATAGTGTGTGTCTGCAATAATGGAAGTGTTAATATTATCAGCAAATGTGCCGGCAAAATTGAGTAAATCGAGTGGGCACTTTCATTTCTAAAATACTGTGAAGCTGAAAAAGTTCTGGCATGTATTTCTTAAATGTTAATGTAATTAAATCCAAGATGATGCAATTTCATACTCCAGCCAGCATCCATTATGTTATAATCCTTATATACTGTGTATTATAATACATCAAGTCAGCTGGAGAGACTTTTTAATAACATCATCTGGAAGCTATTACTCTCTGAATTGCTGCAGTCCTTAATTACCAGTTGTAAAGTAGTTATGTAGGTAGCCGGTATATTATCTGCTTCTCACGGTTGTTTATGTAGTCCATTCTATTTCTGCACGGGTCGCTCCTGCACAAAAATAGACCAACAGTACAATTTATGCAAATGCTACGTTCCTCATTTTGCTGGGTGTGTTGAGTTATGTTTTTTTGCATCTGAAGATGTATTGTATTCTCATATTGCATGTGTGGGACTTTGCTTGTGTGTATGTGTGTCAATGTATTTGTTTGTGTGTGTCTGTTTTGATGTATGTATGTGTGTATGGTTGCACCGTACAGGGTGGGAGACCATTAGCCCTTAAAAGTGAACGGGAAGAGGATTGCTGATTGATGTGGTATGGGTGGGACTCTAGTGTACCACACACACTGCCCCCCACACACAGCTTCCTCCAGCTGTTTCTCTCGTAGATCTAGTACACTGTATATAATAAGAGTCTGAGAATATTAAATGTATGTCTGCGCTCAATTCCCCTCCTTCCTCTCCCACAACAAGGGAGGCATTACGGTCTGTCCCGGGGGTCCCAAATGTGTTTGTGTGAGTAGCAGGAAGGGAAATAACTGGGGAAAAAGATTTGCAAAGCACTGTGTGTTTAAGTTCTTACAGCTTTCATGCATGGCTAGCAATCCTGTATTCACGCATGTGGAAGAGAGACAGACATGGGTATGTGTGTGTGTGGTGGGGACTTTGTGTGTGTAATTAAAGAGATTGGGGACAAGGACGGCACAGTTCTCACACTCCAAATATATGTATATTTAGCTGCTCTCCCATGGGTACGAGCCCCGCAATTCCTGTCATACCAGGAACACACACATAAAAAAAGCATGTAATACTGATGAGGTCCAGACAGTACAACAGTACAGGAAAGAAAGTATGCATGAGTGTGTGTGTGCTGTGCAGTCACTGTGTCCATGGTACAGATGGTACTTCTCATATGTAGGATCGTGAGGGGTGTGTGTGTGTGTGTGTGTGTGTGTGTGTGTGTGTGTGTGTGTGTGTGTGTGTGTGTGTGTGTGTGTGTGTGTGTGTGTGTGGCATACCGTGAGTCAGCCTTTTGGGTACACTGAGAGACCGACAGACACGGTAATAATCACCTCCACACATACTCACACACACCACACCACGAGGAGACACACAGCAGACAGACTGGCTCAGCACACCCACATACGGCAGCATGTAGCCGGCTAAAGGAGAGCCTGATGATTAGGGCCCTTATTCAAGGAGAGAGGGGCCGATAGGGAGCCCGGCTCTCCCTGTAGGTCTTCAAACAACCGGCTAATCCTGACTGTAGCGCTATGATAAGCTAAGTACTCCAGTCCCGATTAATATACTCACTATCCCAAAGTTATACATAGTGAAAAGTCAACTCCACTTAGAGGTGCTTAGAAAGCTCAGATGGCTCTTAAAGGAGTACATCACATTTTCAGCAGATTGTGTAATTGGCGGATTTTACATTTTAAAAGGTGAACAGATGGACACAAAATCATCGATGTGTCCCATTACATTTTTGCACATTATTGACATTTTGCTTTCTAACTCACACCCTCTTTTTCTCAACCCACTGAATGAATGTGTGTATTTTACTCCCACTCTTGTGTTACTCACTCTCTTTTGACATATCTTGCCCTCTGGCTCCAACCCTAACCACCACAAAGGTGCTTGTGTGTGAATGTGTAGACATATACATGTTTATGTGTACTTAGGTATCACTGGTTAATAAATATATATAAGAATACAATTAGAAGCTGGTCAAACTCAGTTTCTCACAATCAAAAGTGATGTCTTTATATTTCTTGTTTTTTTCAGTTAAATAAAATGATTAAAAAAACAAAGAAAAGCATTAAAATCTCCATTATTGAGAGGCTGAAAACTGCATTTTTCTACCAATTCGATTGAACTTATTTAATGATTCATAGTTGGCAATAATCGTCAACTAATTGTTGCAGCTCTGCTTTGAAATAACACAATTGTTATTTTAAAAGCATACAATAAACACTATACGTATATGTTTAGGTATTATTGTGCGTATGTGGCTGAAAGAAAGGATGGTAAGATGGACACAGAGTATGTATGTATATGTTTAGGTATTATTGTGCGTATGTGGCTGAAAGAAAGGATGGTAAGATGGACACAGAGTATGTATGTATATGTTTAGGTATTATTGTGTGCATGTGGCTGAAAGAAAGGATGGTAAGATGGACACAGAGTATGTATGTATATGTTTAGGTATTATTGTGCGTATGTGGCTGA